CCGAGGCACAGCTGGACCCTCAACCTTTCTGGACCTGCCTCACCTACCTGCTGGTGGCTTCTGGTGGCTGCGCGCAGAGCACCCCTGACAGCCACCCGCACGCGCATGCAGTGTTTGATTTCCACAACGCATCCTGGGCTGCGAGGATACGCAGCTGGAAGGAGGTTTTCATACTCATCCCAGGCACAGGCTCAGTTCATTAAGTTGCTGGGAATCAAGAAGGAACCAATGGTCCTGCAGCAACTACTCTGCTGCAATTCATTAGTCATTACGTACAGAAACCACCAGGTCTACCTGTCTCATGTTTCCCCCGCCCCCGCTTCTACTTAGGCACAAAATACTGAGTTTTACATAGTTTATACGTGTCTGACTGGGTGATGGAATCCAGGAAATCCCATGTCCGCAGCCGGTGTGTGATGCGGCCACACGGGATGCAGCCTGACCTGACAATCCTGCCGCTGCCACAGCTGAGCCCTGGTCACTGACCTCCTGCTGTCACTGACCTAATGGCTGGCTGCCTGCCTCAAAATAAGGGGACAAAATAAGAAGGAGGTGGGGAGGGAGGAGAAAAACCTGAGACCTGGATGAAGCACGTTTATTGCAGGGCAGCGTTCCTGTCTGAGATCTGAGCTAAACCGCAGCTGACCATCTGCTTTCGGGACACTCAGCCCTCCTGACCGGCTGGGTCAAACGGCCCTGGACTGGCTTGCAGGCTTCAAAGTGTCCCCCCTCTGGGCTGCCCTGCCAACCCCACCTGCCCACTTTTTCCTCTCCTTCCCCTAAAGCATTACCTAGCTCTGGGATGTGAGGCTATGGAATTTCATTAGATGACAAATCACCGAAATCGTGGGTGTTCTGACAGGAACGTGTAGCCCTGTGTGATCGTGACTTCAAAAGTGTAACCCAAATTTACTTTTACAAGTGACAGACACCTCATAGAGTTAACATGAACCACCTGTATGGAAACAGCCTCCGTCCGAAGCACAGATACATCTTGCTTAGTCATAAAAACTTTTTTTTTGTTTTTTTTTTTTTTACAATACTGTAACTTAATAATTTACAAGCTGAAACTGATCACCCAGTATTTGAAATACGTCACAGCGAGTTACAGTTATCACTAGGACTTCACAGCAAATAAAACTTGTAACTAAACATGCACAGATCATTATATATACAGTGATAAAAAAATAACGATGTACATTTTCTTGTAAGAAGAAATTAAGTAAATTCTTTGTGCATTTCAGGATTGAAACATCTAACCTATATAAAATTACTTTAAAATATGAAGTAAATATTTAACCCAAAACTTGAGAAATCTTTTGTAATCTGTAATATAGCCTTCTCATTTCAGTTTTTCTTTCGGTAACACAGAACTTACTTAGGAATTTTATTCTCTAAGATATTTAATAGTAATGTGCAGATATAAAAAAATACGTCCTTTGTGGCAAGCCTGAACATATATATATATATATTTACAAACCTCCAGAAGAAATTAGCATTAAAAAACACAGAAGTAGCAGATTGACATAGTGCTTTATTTAAGCTGTCTGTACGAAGGAAAATAATGTGCATCCCTATCATATACGTGTAAAAATACTAAGGATGTACAGTGTACAAAAACAGTTTCTTGTAGTTATTTCACATCCTTGTGGGTCATATACTTAAGGAAATAAACAGTTTAAGTATGACCAACAGTAATACGGTTTCTTGGGTTCATAGTCGTGTCTGCTTAATATCCTTAACCATATGACTAGATCTTGCATGGATCTAATGAAAGAACTAGCAAGGTCAAGAAATGTCACAAACTCTAAAGCTACAGGGAGGTAATTCAATTACCAATTTAGAGGTTTTTATTTAAATAAATACTTTACATTTCATGCTTGCCTGTAATGCACTACCAGGAGCAAGATAAGGAAATTCTACTGTAGACAGTACAAACAGTAGCAGCAAAGTGTGTACATTGAGGTGTAATATATAGACCCTGCAGTTAGTAAGGAAAGACCTTACTTTTGTACTCTAGGAGAAGCACATGGCCCCTGCAAGAACAGTCAGCTTTAAGAAGCTGCAAGTAGAGAAAGATGGAAAAAAACCCATAAAACAATACTGGTATAAATGTTCTTTAAGCGACAGGAATGTACTGGAAGATGGATTAGTGTGGAAAGCGAAGCTGTGTGCAAAACTGCCAAAATCCAAACAGAAATGACCTATTTCCTCCAAGATGGCTGCAGTACAAGAGGGCATACTGTACGTCATGGAAGTCAGTACAAGCTGGAGTCAAAGTCTGAAATGTACTGTGCTCAAAAGGCTCGCCAAGGGAACCAGCCACCACCTCCCGTCCAAATCCAACCACAACCGCGAACAGCAAAAGAAGAGCTTCAAAAGTTTCTCTCAGCACCGCTTGCCCGTTTGTCTTTCATCCGTTTCTAACACTGGTAAGAGAGAGAATCCCCCAACCCCGGGCAGCACCAAGCGGCCACCCGCTCTCTGTAGCATCAACTTGCTCAATGACGTTTTGGAAGGCAGACAACACAACACACGGTGAAGCCTTAAAAGGTTTTCAAATAATTCACTGACAGATATTTACCGCAAACCGCATTCTAACTAGCGAGGCGATGGCGAGCTAACCACAGGGTTTCTTCTGTGCGTGAGGAAGGGCTGCCCAGAGGCACGGCGCCAGTCGGTCGTTAGCTAGAGGTGCCCCGTGTCAAGAAACTTATTGCTATTACAAGCTGAAAACATAGGGGAAAAAAAAACACAGGCATATAACACAGATTTGGAATCACTATAGTTTCAGTCTGTAAGTACGAGGCCTTTGCAGAGAACTAATTAATGCCCATCTATTAAATACTCGGTTATTTCAGTCACTCACTCACTCTGTCAGCGCAGACACCTCTACGCTACCGCTGCAGAACAGACCTGCAACGCATTTGCTGTGCTCCTCTCTCTGCGCAGAGGGATAACCTCTACACGTTTAGTGTTACAAGGTGACAGAATGAGATCCTAAGTAGTTAGAATGCACACCATGATCTATTTCTGACTGATTATCCGCACTAAAGATAAAACACGAAACACGAAAAATTGTCTAAATTAGTCTGCGTCTTTAGCTGCCTTGCTAAAATGCCCACCTACCCCTTGACCGTCCCAGCACACGCACTGCCAGCAGTGGGCTTCATGCTCGGGCACGCAACTTTCCCCATCAAGAGGCTAAGGCATCTGCGTAGGAACATCTCGCCTCTCAGACTCATCTGCTCACTCACACAACGCAACCAGGAATACTCTGCGATATCACAGTCTTCGTGGGAGCTAACAAGATCCGAACGCAGAGATACTTCGAATGATAATCCCATGGAGTCAGGGTTTTCCGATGTCCTCAGCAAGGGCACGCGCACGCGCTGTCGCTGCGCCGTCTAATGTCCCCGCTCCTAGCACCAAAGGGTTTATTATTAAGATTATCATTGCTGAAGATCAAAGCTAAAGTTTATGCACACATTCTGTTAGATAAAGATCTTCGGAAGTGGAAAGACGTTCTCCTGTCAGTGGAGCGTTTCTTGCGATGTTTTAAATTCAGTCAATCGGGTACCACGGTTACATGTAACACACTGGGTTTTGGGACTCTTTTGGTTGAGGGCAAACCTTGCTTGAGAAGGGCTGATCCCCAAAATTTACTATTTTAATTATTAAAATAAAGTGCTTTTCTTGTAATCGCTGTGGTCTCATTGTTCAAATGCAATTCCTTCATATAGAACAGAATTTTTCTATTGTACTGTCAGGCTCTTACATTACGTTAATCCTCAGTGGAGCACAAGATGTAGTTTTTTTGTCTGTTTGTTTTTAACCCTTTGGCACATGAAGTTGGAATTCCTCACCTCCATTGCCAAACAATTAAAAGACAGTATTTCATTCACAAAAATCTGATTCTAAGCAGTATGTACAATTTCAGAGCCTTGTTAAAATTTCCACGTGGGAGAAAAGTGCATTATTCCCTTCAGCTTGTACAGTCCTTCCATATATTACAAAGTTAACTGCTATAAGCCTGTTCTATCTAAGATGTAGCAGCATTTGCAAACATGACACATACAATCCTTATCTCTAAAAATAAATACTACCGCAGTATAACAAAACAAAAAAAAAACCCCAACAAACAAAAAAAAAACCAACCAAAGAATATTCAGAGTTAAACACCCGGAGAAAAAGCTAATTCACAAACTCAAAATAGAACAAGTAAGGCAAACACCTGTTTACCTTGGTGCACACATTTTGGTGAAAAGCAATACCATTATGCCTGTCTACATTCTTCAGCCATCAGAGGTGATGTATATCATGAAAGAAAAAGAAAAGCATGAGAAAGATGTTATCTGGTGCAAATTATAAGACCCCTTAAACAACTTCAACTGCTGCTTTTATGCCTTCATTTCTTGCATGTATAATGTTCGATTCTCCATGATTGCACATGAACCTGGAAGTTCTAAGTGGCAGGCTGGGTGAGCCCAGCCCTTCTGCTTCTTCTGTAGTATCCAACAGTAATTAAAAAATAATATATATATATATTTATATATATCAACAGTTTAAGTCCTTCTCTCAAACGTTTCCCAAACAAATTCCAGCCAGATGTTAATGACAGAGACCTGCTTCAAGTAATGATATGCCTAACAAAAACCTTGCATATGTACATCACCACCCCTATGTTTCCTTGTTCTAACCAGCACAAACAGATGCAAGAAAATGTTATAGACTGGTCTTTTTAGATTAATTACAATTTTGATTCATCTTCTGGTAGAAGATAAGCTGGACCGACACTTTTTTTTTTGTTTAGCCTCCACTGTGAGGAAAAATAGATGACTGCTTGTGCACAAAGTTACAATGCTGAAGTCGAGTCATCTACCTTCAAAGAAACCGTTAGTAACTTCTTGACGTTGCTATTATACTGAGACTGTGGGCAGCAGCAACAGCAGGAGAGCGGAGTAGAGAAAAGCTCGTATTTCATGCAAAACCAAAATGGATTTTAGGTAGGTTTGGGAAAAAAACTTGTTCAATTTGGAATGGTCTCTGAAAGTGCCCCTGCTATCTTAAATAGCATCTAGTACTGGTGGTGATGTTCAGGAATCATTTTCAGTGATAAACCTAAGATGACAGTGAAGCAGCAGAACAAAAAAGTTATTCTCGTCCACTTGCAGAGTAGGAAAACTGGGGGAAATGTGGCCGCCTCTCATTGTCCATGCAGTCCATACCATCCTCGTCATCTGTATTAAGAGAGAAGTTCAAAACATCATTATGTTTGCAACGAGATTTTATTACTCACCTGGTATGCAGTACATCTTTCAGGGTTCAATGCTGAAGTTAAAGGCTCAAGTTAACATAAGAGTTTATTCATGTCAGTTTATGCTCATACAGTAGAGCGATGCTCACTGAAAGGACATCCTTTCAATAAGTCACCATTTATTTCAGGGTGGGTCGGTTGGTTGTTTTATTATGACTATCACCTGAGAACTTCAATCATTACTACCCATTCTAGGCTAATCAAAACATGCCGGCACATCTAGCTTCTGGTAGCAGAGAAGCCGACTGAAGCAGCCAATTTTCATTGTTGCTTAAGCTGAGTTCAAGAAATTATAATCTTACTGTAGATATCTTTAAATATTCCTCCATTTCCAAGGGAGTTAAAAGGAAAAACAGCTACAAAATGAACTATTCATGCAGGTTCTATGTGTTTCAATTCTTACATTAGTTTTTTACTAAACTATTTATTTTTGCAGTATTTACTGGGATCAGAGGAAACACGGACTAAGCCAAATTCATAAATATTTTTATTTACATAATTCCTGCAGTGCCAATGGAAACCAGGCACCAGATGTTGCCTAACTCTGAGAATTTTGATCTACATTCTCACATGGATTTTTAAACAGTGCTTATCCTTAAAGGCTCCTATTGAAACTGTTACTCTAACGGCGAATTTATATGCAACCTTTCAGAATTATGTATCTTTTGTATCTTCATATATTCTACATACGAAAACTAGAGTTAATGCAGGTTTGAGCAATTGCCGCGATTAGGCTGCTTGACTTCAACAGTGCCTCTCAGTTCTGTAACTTCAAATACAACCTCCCTTTTACACCTTCAGTTTAAATTACGTTAGTGTACAGAGCTTGGGTTTTTTGCTATCAGTTTGATTGTTGTAGCTACAAGATAGAGTTTCAATATTCACTTAGCATGATTTGTAAAACCTTGATGTCTAAATAACTGGTCTAAATGTTATAAAAATTATTTCTGTAACTATAAAATATCTTTAGTTAAGCAGCAGCTTTCTGATACAGTTACCAACCCTCCATCCCTAGAACACATTTTAACCCCCTTTTGCATAATCACATCAGAGGGAGGTGATACCATATTGTAGATAATACCTGTAGATATTTTAAAAGAAAAATCATTAGAAATCATCGCCCCCCATTTTATTATTCTTATGATTGGGGTGGCATTGCAGCCCATGCTAAGTTTCACGCTACAGCAGCCAGACCATTACCAGAGGCCAAGATAGGTCCTTTAGGTAGGTAGGTCCTTTCCCCGCATTGCTACTGATCACCTGCTCTGAATTCAAGAGATTTAAAGCTGAAGTCTTGGTAGCATCCACATATTTTGTATTGCTTCAACCTTCGATGGATAAATAGCCATTCTCATTGCATATGTGGAGTTTCAAGAGATCAGGACTTTATGATATCAAATTAGACTTCAAGTTAATCCAAGTTTTAGCAAAATTTGTTCAAATTACAAATATGAACAAATTCTTATCAGCATAGATGGGAGAAGAAAGGGTTATTTTTTCACAGCAGGAAGGCTTAAAAATCCCTTAAATAACTGTCTACAAACATTAGAAATGCAAAATCCAGAAAATACTCCAGATCTGTAAACCAACATAAAACTGCAGCTAAACCTGGGAATGCCAGAACATCAAAAAATGAGCTAGCTCTATGAAAGGGTTATAGAATCATAGAACAGTTTGGGTTGGAAGGGACCTTAAAGATCATCTAGTCCCACCCCCCCCTGCCGTGGGCTGGGACACCTCCCACTAGACCAGGTTGCTCAAAGCCCCATCCAGCCTGGCCTTGAACACTTCAGGGATGGGGCATCCACAGCTTCTCTGGGCAACCTGTTCCGGTGTCTCACCACCCTCAGAATGAAATATTTCTTCTGATTTCTAATCTAAATCTACCCTCCTTTAGTTTGAAGCCATTCCCCCTTGTCATATCACTACATGCCCTTGCAGAAAGTCCCTCCCCATCTTCCCTGTAGGCCCCCTTCAGAGATACTGGAAAGCTGCTATAAGGTCTCCCTGGAGCCTTCTCTTCTCCAGGTTGAACAACCCCAACTCTCTCAGCCTCAACCTTAACTATAGACTTTACTATCTACCTTTGTGATATTCCTTCCCCATTCCCCAATTTAAAAATAAAAATTTAAAAAAAAGAAAGAAAAATCTCACTTAGAAAGGAAATCCATTCAAGAACTCAGCAGCAAGGTTTTAACTGCTCTGGCTTGGTAAGGAGCTCTGTTGAGCCCTAGCTTGGCTGAGCAGATGATGATTCTGATAGCAGAAGATGACAAAAATACAAACTGCAGTGCAACTACACTCACTCCAACAAAGAAGTCTGTGCAAGGCCCAGTGCAGCAGTTATATCCATATTAATAAGTTCTTTAAGAGCTCTGCTGAAGCATAGGACTTGATAGGAGATATCATTTTCAAGTAATTTATATCTACACAGGAGACATCCACTTGTCTCTGGAAGCTCTTTTTTTATGTCTTTTGGTCTTCAAAGTATTTTAAAATATGCCTAACTCACTAAACCTAGACAACCCACTGAAGCCATTAGCAGTGTCCACATGCTTAAAGCAGGGTCCATGTTCCAAGTACTTTGCTGAACTGGGAACTTAACTCCCAACCAGCAAACATTTGAAGCTACTGTTTTCACTTATTTAAAAATAAAAAAGAAACCAACCAAAAATGCAACCCAGAGTGATCTAATATTCTAAGTTTTGTAATTACTCCTTCTTTAAAAGAACGCTGTCATTGAAAGTTTCTCTTACACACTTCCATACAAAGACTTTACTAATAACAGCGAGAACAGCTTTTCCATTCAAACAGAAAAAAACCCTTACACAGTGCTTTATTATAAAATGATTATTTTTAATTTTTGCTTATGCATAATTTCTGACTTACATTTTTCAGGCGGCGTTATCGTAATAGTCTGAGCTGTAAATTCTTCATCAAAATACCTGGTGTCTGTCTCAGATGTCACTTGAGGTTTAAAAGGAGGTACAAGCTGAAAGGGACCAAGAAACAAAATGAAATTACTATACCTAAAACCAGACAGATTACTACCAGGAAAACATGTCAGTTCTTTTTCCCTACACCCCAGACCAAACCTCCCAGTAGGTCTGTGGAGAGGCAGCTGAGTCCCTAATTTCTAGTAAGTGACAGAAGTCATTAGAGTCAATCCCAAAAATACTAGCTCAGAATCTAGCTAATAGCCCAACACAGCTAAACTCCAAGTATCACTCTTACGTGACATGCAGATAAATTGAGCTGCATAAAGACAGTTACCTAGAAAATCTTCAGGCCATTCTAATTACCCGCATAGATGTCAGCCACGCGCACCTCTAGGTACTTCACCACAACTGGGTGGTATAAACAGCTAAGGCAACAAGGATCACACAGAGAGCACAGTAAACACGATGCATTTTATTTTTTTTCAGGGTTAAGGCCTAAATCTAAACTGACCTTTAGAAGAAATTATATGAATGTGAAAATAAATTCTATATTTTAAAAAAGGCGAGTTCATGCCCAAGTGAGTTGTTGGATCTAATCCTGCCTACTGCTTTCCCAGTACCGTGCGGTATTTCCCAGCATCTCTAGTATTTGCTCACAGCTCACAGGCAGGACTTCCTTGCCCCTCTTTTGAATCAGCCTTGCTATACACCTCCTCCAGAACAACAGCCTCCGGGCCAAAGATTTTAACTGGAAGGCATATTCAGTATGGAATACCGCACTGCATGGTGCCAGTCCAAAACGATACAGCAGTTTAGCGTGTATGGTATTGTCAAGGGGGTAGGGGAAAGGGGGTGCGGAAGACAATGTTTTGTTTTCTGTCTTGGAGCCCTTTGGTGTTATCTGCTCATAGGTGATTTAAAACGCACACCCTGAAGACAGCATATCAATTTCCCTCTCTAGGAAAGGTTAAATTATGGCTGGCTGATATTATCAGGGCTTGCATGTGGTTTTCACGAGTTTCATGTTATCTCTCTCCTCAACTCCAGAACACCAACACCAAACAATTTGGTTGTTAAATCTACCCCACAGCAGCTCTGAATCTCAGTGCTAACCAAAGGAGACTACACAATTCACAAACAGAGCCATCCAAAATCCAACAAAAGCTATCCTGCCCTATGAGGACTAGATTGTGCAAGTATGTAGTGCTGCACAACCAGCCAAAGACAGAACTCTTTCAGCAAGATGCTCTTCACAGTAGATCTCTATCCAGAAAATTATTTATATTCATTCCTAATATCTTACAGTTTGAGAGGTTTTTTTATCAGAAATGAGGCATAAAAGATTGAAATGTGGTAAAGTGCATAAATGGAGCACCTAAAAAACCAGCAAAACAACAGTAAAAAGACCCTAAGCAAAAGCATGTGTAGGTACATACACTCACACAAAACCTCTCTCCATTTTTTAATCACCATTACAAATGCACGCGCAAACTCCCATTGTTTCCCAATCCAGGCTGAAAACTGCCACCCAGTTCTTTTCATGTTTTCCTTCTCACATAAGACACCTCGCACTGACAGCTGGTAACGTGAAAGCCATATTAGCCGGAGAAAGATACCTTCCCCACACCTTGCAATACGAAAACCACACCAGAACACTGGGTGGCTCTTTGGACATGGGGCCAGATTCTGCCTCCATCCTCCCAGGATACACCTACAAGTCCCTTCAGAATTACCCTTCATTCAACAATTTGACTCTTTTCTTCCTGCAACAGAGTACATACTGTCCTTTTTGAGTTTATACTAGGAGCTCTATTTTATCTGATCCAAACCTTCAGTAACAGTCCAAGCAACCATTAAGCAAAAATAAATCTATCACTTGCATATGCTTAAAACAGTATTAATACTGATTAATACTTTTACAAAATACTTTACTAATACTTTACTAATACTTTTACAAAACTAAATTCAGTTCTCACATTTTGAATGGAAAACATACAACAGCAGAGGAGTATTTGAAGTAAAGGTTCTGGGCAGTTTAAGGTTAGATTAAGGAGCTTAAGGAGTTCTGGGTTAGCTTAAGGAGCTAACATACATAAACTCAGCATCAGAAGAATCCTCCAGGTATAAATCCAGTTACATCCAGTGTTTAAAACCAAAGTATTGTGGTTTATTGTACAAATTCCTGCACTTCTGTGAAAATTATTTTTGTATGCATCCTGGCCATCCCAATCGATTCTATTAAAACAGATTTCCAAAGTCGTACGTCCCCCCCAGCAAAGCAGCCACACGATTCCTGAGCAAAGAGTTACTGCAGTGGAACATCCCTGCTTGGGATTATTTTTCCAGATCAGAAACAGAAAATGCCTTTTCACAAGAATTAAAACTTTTCATATGAAAATACAAGCTCAGGAAAAACTTTCTTGTTTCTCAAGTCAAGGGCAAGAAACAATGTCTTTCCAATGGCGCAGTACACATCTCCAGTAGAACAAACCACTCTTGCTAGAAAGTGAATCAGAGACCTTTCATGCTACAACTAATAAGTGAAGAGAAGTGAAAACATTCACTATGCCATCTTTAACAGCTGTGATTTAGGTCAAAGTAGTTAATGAAAAACAAAAGGAAGGGCAGGGGAAAATCATAATCTCTAGCAATGTACGGATCTGCAACTGGAGAGGAAAAACACAGTGTATTCGCTGACAAGTTTCTTCCTCAAAACCTTACTGGCTATTTACTCATTTACTCAGAGGGTTTTTTTTCCCCTCTTGATTTTTTTTCACTGAAATTAACAGGCCTCACTACAACTTTATATTACCCTCTTGTTCTCTCCATCTATCTGAAATAGTAATGGTTATGAAAATACTTTGAAAACTTTATTTTAGAAAAAGCAGCACAGTACTAAATGACTCCTAAGGAACAAATAATTACAATAATAATTTCAATCAGGTATGAAAATCACCATTAAAACAAGATCCATCAATCATGGGCGATGGGAGGAAGTTGGTGCTCCAATTTGATGCTGGGAAGCTAGGCTTAATAGAAAACTAGTTATTAATAACAGCTGGTGAAATTTCCAGTTATGGCAGAAGTTTAGCTGTCTGGGGAGGTGAAACAGGTAAAAGCCACCAAACACCAGGCTGCAACCAGAAGGGAGGAACCCAATGCAAATTTATGTCACCGGTGTTTTGAGATTCATCCATCTTACAGCAGTACCTTTCATATCCTGGACATCAAAAGCAGTCGGAAATTTCAGTGACTGCAAAGACAAACCATGCAGCCACGTGGCACTCCGCAACAGCTTAGACTTGTATTTATACACACTATACCCTCACATACACCAACCATCCCCTACAGCCTATGGGAAGGAGGAAATGGCAGCTGAGATGAAGACCCGCAGATACAACTCAACAGAGAGCAGCAAAAATGTTTCTTAATTCTTTCCACACACTTTGCCCTCTTCCCTTACAGCATCATTTCCACCAGCACAGCTGTGAGGAGAGCCAGAACTGAGGAATACTCCTTTTCACCTGCTCTATGCCACTCACACCAAAACAACCGGGGCTAAAGTTTCGTGGAAATCCCACTCCAGACTCCTGCTCTGGCACCACACGTACACCTCACCTCACCTCAAACAAATGATTTCTCTGACCGTCATACAGTTGTTGGGATACTTGCAAGACACACTCCCAATCTGAATGGGAGAATCTCTAAATTTACTGGTTCCTGTAGAATTCTTGCCAAGAAATGAGGAACCGGCACACGGAGCTCTGGCATCACCTCCAGAAGAAAATGAGAGAAATGCAGTAAGAAATCCTCTCCTAACAACCTTTCAGACAAAGCAGGAGCACAGAGTATGGTATAAACGATGTGCACAAGTGCATGCAGAAGGACACAGTACTTCACCCCCACATTCAGGAGACTGAAGACAGAAGCATTCAAGACAGATTTTGTAAGGCATGTCACTAACACGCCTGGCCATGCTACAGAAACTTGGCAATCATCTTTCTGGAGGAGTGCCACCTTTGTTCATCAACGGTCAGATTTTATTTAAAAACAGAAAGTAAAATCACCACAAATTTCAGGTGCTATGAACTCGTTAGAAAGATGAATAAGGTGCAACTGCTGCAGGGATAACCGCTTAGATTGACACAGAGCCTGAATAACAGCTCAGAAGATTCACCATACATCCCAAGAGAGACTGAAGCTGAGGCTCAATGCAAAGAACAAAACATCCGACGTTAACTACAGCTCTGACGATCACAACACAAAGATGCCGCTCTACACCCAGCAGCATTTCATGTGTGGTGCTATAAGGCAATGGTATCCAGCTGCTATCGCCGCAACGTTTCCCCACTTCTGACCTGAGAAGTCAGAACATCCAAGACTAATGGGAGCACCACAAGGCACATGCAGTACCTGTGTCCAAAAGGAGTAAGATGAGCTTTTGTTAAGCACAGGCTTTGTCAGTCTGCGTGAGAATCACACTGCTCGGTCCCGGCTGCCAAGTTTTAGTATGGGATGATTTTCCTCCTCCTCTAGTGGTCTGTGCAAATTCAGGCAGAACACACTCAAACCAGACAGGAGACTGCACCGTCAGCACCCAACAATTTACTCCAAGGACCACAAATACAGATTTTCTGTGTTCATGCATTACACACACACACATGCGCGCCCATGAGCGTACAAAGAAAGAAATAAAAGTCTAATCTCAGTGTGAGTTAAGTGACTATAAGAGTTGATGTTCAAGGCAAAACACCAATTTCACAGGACACCCATATGTAAAGCTGAATCTGCACCAGCCATTTCCAAGGCTTGGTGTTAGAAACGACAGCAGAAGCAGTATCAAATTTTTAGTGTCTTTATTATCTCCAGTGAATGGCATTTCCATTTGGCATCCATGGAGTGCAGCATGTGAGAAACACCACTGTTCTTCCACAGTTCAAGACATGAGAAACCTGCCACCCATCTCTCAGGGGAAGGAGAGGGGCAGGTAAAGTACCTGACTGTTACAGTCACACGGATGAACAGACAGGTTCTATCCTGCACCTTGAGCTTT